TAAACCGCGGTCCGACGAGGATCCGAACGGTTCAAATTAATTTTTCATGGAGCAGTTCACTGTTTACGGAGGGACATTCTTCGAGATATAGGAAACCTTCGGTGGATGAAGTTAAATTATGTATCAATTGCTCGAACGATGGAAGAAAAGGACACTACGCGTTGATCTCTTGCTGTTCGAGTAATTAAATCATTCGTTTGCGAGTTAGTCTTGCAAGTGTGGACATTCCATCTCGAAGTATCGACATTCGTCCGCGAAGGGTTAACTGGAGGAAACTTCGATGCTTTTCAATTGTTAATCGAGGCAGGAATGAATCTGATAGTTGAAGCGCTTCGAGGAACGCGGTTCGAAGGTACGGATGAAAAATCCTACTATCCTATTATGGAGGATAAGCGACTGAGCGTATCGAACGCGGTCCGGTAATTCGGTAGAAGACTAATGCGACGATATAATCGCGGCCAGTTTACAATAATCTTCCATCGTTTGTTCATAAACGTGCTCGCCGCGAACAGTGGGTGCACGCGTATCCACAACGACGATTACCGGTGTTTATACGTTCCCGTTAATAAATCCGGTTAAGCCTTTTACACGAGTCCATTCTAATGCACCGGCCGGCATACGGTGCACGCCAGCCGCTCGTAAAATTCGTCACGGCCGTTACAATGGCCGGTGTTACGGATTCAATGAGACTTCGCGCGTTCGCAAACATTACTAACGAGGTTCGCCCGCGGTACCGTTAATCGAATTTAAGTCGTCCGGCGAAATTAAAGCGAGGCCAGCCGATCCGAGGGAAACGCGGACGCCGTTCCCAGCGATCGAAGAAGCGCACGGAAATTGTAAACTTTCATAAATTTCTGGGCACCGGCATTTTTAATACGATAGAAAGCTGTCCTGTATCGGTTCACCCGCGGCACGTCGGGATATAATCTGCGAAATCGGAGTCCCCGAGCCGAAAGCAATTTTTCCGAGCTCGTTAAAAGTGGGACGAGCGAAACGAGTGGCCGCCATTTTGGTCCCCGGTTAATTCGGACGGTCGAGCCGCGGGAACGGTCTCGTTCGCTCGCCGACAAACGTTTCTGTATCACCCAGTACAATTACGGGCAGTCGCTTAGAGGGTAATCTCGCAAGAAAAGAAGAAACGCTGGAAACGAGGGGGTCGGGGAGGCTGGCCGGAGCGAGGGGCAGAACGCCAGCGTAGTTCTCGCGCGAGCTTACTTATCAAAACGATACAATTACGACGCGGTAGTTGCCGGTTTTGCATAATGCATATCGGCGCTCGGAGTAATGTTCAGGCGAAGCATCGCGGTGGCACTAATTTCCGTGAATCGGACAGCGCCAGGAAGCTTTTCTTGCGCGGTCGAGCACCGATGCCGGTCGAGGGGAGCCTAGCCGCGCGTGGTCGCTACGGTGATTAGTGATGGGACCGATCGCGGAGTCATCCAACACCTCAACAGCCGGTTCTTCAAAAAATCCATCGACGATCCACCTGTCCAGACGCTAATCCGAAACGTCGCCCCGGCGATTTGCATATTCGCGAAACGTGTCTCGCGCGTCTTGCGCCTTCCGGCTCCCATTTCCATAGCCTCAGCAGTTCGTACACTTATGCGGCTACTCTACATTTTCCTATTACCGAACACCTCCGACCGGTCAGATTTCTAAATTTCCATTCCCCCGTTGTTCCCCCGGCTCGAACGTCTGCCCATTTTTCATCCGCCTCGGTATTTCTCCGCGCGTTTCCACGCGTTCCCCTCAATTCCCGGTGAATCTCCATATCTCCATTTTCGCGCGTCTCCGCGTCCGTTCGCCGTAATTCCCCGTTCCTCCAGCGTAATTCCGATTTCCGCACGGTTTCCGTGACTTCGAATCTCTGTTCGCGCTTCAGGCCCCACCGACGATAATCCGCGCGCCCCTTGGAGCTGGCTGCTGCCGGCAATCGCGCCGGAATCCCCGAACGACGCGCCGCCGGGCTGCAGAATCGAGCGGTCGGGCGTCGATTTCGGCGGAGACTCGAATCGTGGCGGACCCCTGGCGACGAGGAAGCAGTCCGTGTCCGGCTGAGATATCGGGGCCGTGCGCGAGGGTATTGGTCCCATCACTATCGGTGATGATCGGCGAGCGCACGGCAGGCGGCCGGCTTCTTTCCCGCGGCTTCTTCGAGGGCGACTCTCGATCCATGTTTCATGAGATCGTCGGGCTCGAACTAGAGAGAGGGCCGGCCACGTAGAGCCACTTACAAGCCGAGGGAGGCAGTCGCTACTCTGAATCACGGGCACCTAGGCGATTCTTTGTGATCGATGCACTCGCGGCGACACCGCGGCGCCTCCCTCATTTTGCTTTGCTCTTGTTATTATTATTGTCTCTATCTCGACAGGGGGCTGGCTCATTACAACCGCGTATACTGGGTGAGGTGATTCGAGCTTTTACGCCGATAATAATCAAATGAACCAGCGTCTTTAAGCTCCGACCTTAGACTACCCTCCCTATTACTACGGGCTTAAGCTACTTCTGCTTAACCCCTCGGCTACAGCAGAATTTCGCGTGTTTCTAAGAAAGTGCATCGAAACACTGAATCTTACTAAATTAACCATACAATGACGAGTGAGACTCGTGATAAATTTACTATCGATGCATTATCTTCAAATGATTCCGCTTAAAGCAGAAAATTTTGCTTTTCTTCCAAATTGTCGATAGTAAAACCATAAAGATATATTATAGTTCACTTGCCTCATATCCAATCGACTTCTACTGCAATTATAACATTCCACGACCTATGAGCGGCAACCGTACATCGACAATTTTTCTCTTCGAGCGCCAACAGCAGCCAAGGGGTTAAGCGACACGTATTCTCACGGTTTCAGTTCGTTTCTCCGCAGTGCCGAGCCCTCTGCTACGAATCGACTCGTACGATTCGCATCCCGGATCGCTCGGTGAGCGAGTGACAATTACGATGAGCCCCTGAAAGAAAAAAAGAAAAGAAAGACTGTTCTCGGAAGAAAGTCCGATCGTAACGTGTCCTTCGTCCCCGTCCCATCTTTCCGCAGTCACCGCGAGTGACTCGGTTTTACCGGGAACTCAGTGGGCGATAACGAGAGATCTACGGTCTGTTACTTAAGCAGATCGATGGCCGATCGGCCGGCACAAACGAGCCCCGAGGATCGGGCCGCCGGTTTCGCAAACGTGCTCGCGGACACGTGGCGAGCGTAAGTCACGCCAACCCTCTGCGCCGCCGTGCACCGCAAAACACGGCTTCGCCGAATACGCCGGCGATTCCCTGAAATTCCCGGCGGATTATATCGCGTGTACGTACGCACCTGTATTTCGCGCGGTCCGCCGATCCTCTTCTACGAATCCGGCCCGCACGACGTCCAAGTGTTCCGGTTTGCGCCCATTATTCATCGCCACCGTGCACGCACAAGCTTCGTGCGCTAATTTTTCTTTCAAACGAACCGCCTGCCTGTCCGCGTACAGCCGTCCCTTTGTCGGCGCGGGCTTCCGCTGGAAAAAGGAGCAGCATTTTTTTCGGCGGGTCTATATTTAGACGGCGACCCGCGATCGATTTATCGGGCGGCAATTAAAATTTAGATTCGGAGCTTACGTAATGCTTCCTCGTAAAGTGATTCACCGGCCGTGGAACCGCGGGATTTAGTGGTACGTTTTCATGTTCGGCTACATAAATCCTTGAATGGATTACCAATAAATATTGATTTTATCACTCTTCCGCGCTGAACAGCTGCGGTCTTTGTATCCCATTATTGCCCGCTATTTGCTCGCTGAAAACAAATTTAAACGGCGTTTTAGTACAGTGCGCGGCGCTATTAACTATGACAATGATTTCGTGAAATACACGAACCATGGAAATTTGTATCAATTAGATCGTTTAACGCGAACTACACGCTAAACTGTATGCATTCCGAAGAGTCTTGATTGAGTAATTCCGTTACGAATTGCACGACTAAAATGGCTAAAATCCTTGTTCACCTATAAATAATATTATACGTACACAATAAATACAGCATTCATTTTCAACAATAAAATAGACAATTTTAATTAAGGAAACCCCGAGTTTATGTGTTCCAAACAAATTAATTAATCGAAATTTTTCTTCTAATCGTCACGAACTTCCATCATGGCGGTCGATATCGAGACCCGCGAGATGGTTTAGCGTCGAGAATTCGAAAGGGTGGAAAAAATTACCGGCAATATAACCCTGCAACGATGGCGCATCGCGCGAAACGAGAATGAAAAATTCCACGGACAGGAAGTCGATGATGCGTCGTTACAGCTGGTGTATTCTTCGATTCCCGATACGCCGTACTGCGATGAGAGAAATTTAAACGGAACAGGGCGAACGGGGTCAGGAACTGATGTTCATGTAAATGCCGGGCTGGGCCACGCGGAGTGGAAACTCGCATTAATCCGTGGCTCGCTACTCGGGCTAGTATGTACTCTTCGGCCCTCCTTTTTTTCCTCCTTCTACTCCCCCGAGTTTTCCACTTCCACCGAGTCATGCTGTCCGCTTTTCACTTCATTTCTCTCTGGAACACGGTGTAACATCGGCCGGTATTCACCGCGATGGCATACGGCCAACCGTACAAGTCTACACGTTTCCTAGTGCGGCACGCTGATAACGCGGGAAATGCCTGTACCTCTGCCAATGATAAGTTACTGATCACTTCTCGATACCTTATCCTCTTCCCTGTACTTTTCTGTCGAAATTTCGTTGTTTCCCGGCTCCATCTTTGAGTTCTGAGATTCGTTTCTTGGGAGTGTGATTAATTAGACACTCATAAGGTTCATTCATCCTGGCAATTACGTCCTTCCACTTTAACTTCTCAGTTCGTATTGATGCGAAACTTACGTAACTGAAATGTGGCGCCACCTGGTGGGTAGTTGGGTGTAATGACCGTTAACGTTCTGTTGATAGAATTGTTAGCTTCTTTATCATCTGATGTGCTGTTGAAGGATACGGTTTTTGTGAAATGGAAGTGAAATATGGAAAGATTGTTCTGACTGATATTGGAACGTTTTATTTTCTGTTGAATTGTGGGGTTTTTTTATTTTGAGATTTAACCGTTGCGATTTTCAAAATTTCAAATATGGCGCGAATGAAATTGAGCGGGGCAGCACGATCGACCTAACAGCTGCGTACACCTATTTTCTTAACCTCCACGGAACGCATGAACGGTGCGCGTATAAAAAAAATTAGACATTCAAAATTTCACGTTGAAGAAAGGAAATGAGCGATGCCGAACTTCAAGAGGAGGAAAGAGAAGTATTGCTGTCGATATACGATGGAGACGCGGCTTTTAAACAGCTGACACCTACTACATTTCAATACAAGGTCGGTACTCCGAAATAACGTTAATGATTTTTGTTATATATTTTCAAATGAAACAAGAATTAAAATCTTCAAGACCGTACAATTTATCAACTGCACCTTTATCTTTATTGCCATCACCTTTGTTTTACAATGGATCAATGTCAAGCCCGTTTAAACGTAACTCGAATTTATTGGCACTCTATGACACTTCAATTGGCACACGACGGGAAAATAACATTAATTGTATGTACAGTTTGGAGAAGACAACGATGCTAAATCATTTCTATTGGAGATCACGTGGGGTCCAACATATCCTTCGGAGAAACCTACCATTAATATGAACACTTTTTACAACAAACATATGTAAGTCCAGCTATGTTGTTCTTCGACTATTCTTGCATCCTGTTGCTTTTATTAAAGGTGAATGATTGGAATACAGTGTACAAGAAGTGAAGGATAATGTGCTGAAACACGTGGAAGCAGAAGCTAATCAGTGGCTTGGAAGTGCCATGACATACACATTATTCCAATCTGTTCAAGAGCATTATCTTGAACTGATTTCCGCACAACCAGAATCTATCATTGATCTCAACTCTCAAACTAGCCAGCTTAAAATAACAGAGGATAAACAACAGGTAAATGATGATTTTCCTCTAGCTTAAGTATAATTAATGTACGTAAATGATTACAAATGTGAATTATTCGAAGACTGAAGAGACAACTAAGAAACCCAAGAAGGAACACCTGAGTAAAGCCCAGAAGCGTAGACAGTGGAATAAAGCAGACGGAAAGGGAGAAAGACCACGAGGATGGGACTGGGTGGACATAGTGAAACATTTATCACAAACTGGTCCTAAGCAAGAGCAAGAGTCTTAGTTCAACAGAGAAATTTTGTACAGGTTAAAAGCGTGTTATATTTTTATAAATTATTGGAAATAAACTGGTTTCCATATCAGTTTTACCATGCTATAATTACCTGTGATAAAAATTTGTAAGAAAATATTTATGAATAATTTTATCTCATCGCCAATAGATAGGTACAAGATATGCAAATAAAATTACATAAATTATCAACAGTTATAAAATTTTATCGAGGTAAATAATGTCGTGAAAGGAGCAATGATATTTAAATGCTTGCTGCCATACTTCGCTTTTCTTTTATCATTTTACAATCTTTATAAAAATCTCCATGCCGCTACCGGTAACA